CCTTGTTTCTACTGAAGGTCTCTTAAATATTTTTTAAAGTGCAATATCAAAACAGCAAAAAATTGAAGGGAAAAGAATAGCTTTACATTATGTATGGTTTCTATTTTCAATGATAAACATCAGAACGTCATTTTTTAATATTAATAAGAGTAATAAACATGTAGAGTGGTTTATATAAGGCCACTGTGTGTCATTCCAGAAACAAGGACGGCACTAATCAAGCCTCACGGGTGGTACAAAGCTTTCTGACTCACAACCAGACCTGACAGCATCAAGCAGCTAAGCCTGCCCGGCCCCGGCTAACGTCAACCACCACCAGAGTTCCTGTGTGCCCACCACCCTCCTAAAGGGCAAATCTTTACAAAACGGGGCAAATGATGTTCTCAGAGGTGCAATTGGTTCTTGCAGGCACCAAGCACAGGCTGTTCTTTAGAGGGACAAAGAAGGTCTCGGATGAGCTGGACTCCGGGGGCGTCTGCCTTCTCCTTACCCACCCCCCCACCCCCAACAAATCACGGCTCACCTATAACTGCATCTTACTGGAAACAGGAAGACAAGCACAGCCACTCATTTCCTGACTGCTGATTCTGCTAAGAGGCACAAGAGCCTGCAATTGGTCTGCAAAGGGCAAAATGATCTCATCTTTAAGAAAATTCAAGAGGTTCTCTCTGAACGTGAAGCAGAATAAGTGAGTCTCTCTACTTCAATTAGAACTCAAAACATTTCCAATTTCCTCTGATGGAAGACTGTTTCTACCTCTCAGTGTCTGAAAACAGTCTGTCAAATTATCATGGCGAGGTTCCACTGGGACGGCAGGGTCAATGCGACTGTGGCTCCCTTCTTCTGGGCTCTACAAGGGTCTTGGATCAGGGGCGGCCCTGAGTCGGACCACTTCCCCATGCCCAGCACTGCCACCTTGCCACTCTGCGTGCTGCTGTCCCCTCCCTTCCCACACCACTCCCACGCTCACACCCCCAGAAGCCCAGAATCACACACCAGGCATGGGGAGGGTTTCACCAGGAAGGAACATGGAGCTCAGATAAAGGCTCTGCAGGTGAGATGTGGACCAGGCACCACTGGTGAAGGATTCCAGGGCCCACACGCAGGTGTGCACTAAGAGTCGCAGCTCCCCCTTACAAAATGGGACCACAAGCCATCAGTGGCTCCCAAATGGCAGTCTGGCCAAATCAGAATCATCAGCCCAAGGGAACTTCTCTGACTTATGGATTTCTGGGCCCCACCCTGAGGGATTCGGATTCAACATGCAGGGGCAGGGTGGCTGACGCAGTTGACAATCTGTGTTCGTAAAAGGCTCCCCTGGAGAGTGCCAGGCTGGTGACCTCCGACATCCACGGGGCTAGATCAGCCTGGGTCGGGTCCTTGAGAGGTTGTGAGGGAACATCTGTGGCCTGTTCCGTGAAGGAGCAGTGAGGAACTGTGCATCTCCTGACTCCAAAGCGAATGCCAACCTCTCCACTGGGCAGGGGTCTGGGCTGGTATGAACTTGCCAGGAAACTAGTGGGAAGCCCAAGTATGTAGAACACCAAAATCCAGAAGACTGCAGGTGGGAAGTTCGGGAGCTTAGAATAAAAATAAACCTAACCTGTTGCCGTCGAGTTGATTCCAACTCATAGTGACTCTACAGGACAGAGCAGAACTACACCACAGGGTTTCCAAGGAGCACCTGGTGGATTCAAACTGCAGTCCTTTTGGTTAGCAGCTGTAGCTCTTGACTACTACTCCACCAGGGCTTCTAGAGCTTAGAGTGGAGCTGGGTAAATAAAGCCCAGTGTCTTTGCCTCCAGCCTTCCTGGTTCTGCAGTGAAGGACAAGACTCTCGCTTTCACTTGCCTCCTCTGTAAAAATGGGGACAAGAGTTGCTCTAACCATTTCAAGGGAAAATAGGAGGGTCAACTGTGAGACGACACTGTATAAAAGACTGCAAATAAAGCACAAAAGCTCCAATCTTTTTCTTCTCCTCATGAAAGCCATCCCTTTACTAACGCGGTTAGACCATAAACATCCGGAAGTGGAGTCCTCCTAAAAGGAGGGATTTGCAAACCATAGATGCTCAGCACATTTCCTCTTCAAGGTGAGGATGCTCCTCCAAAATCGTCCTTTGCTTTATGCCAGGATCCTTTTCTCACTGTGCATTAACAAACCAATTTCTAATATAAAATAATACTGAAGGATTGCCCATTGTATTTAATCTGAAATTCTAAGGTGAAATTCATATATAAGTGAAACTGAATTTAAAAAGAAAAAAAGTTGCTGTTGAGTCAATTCTGACTCATGGTGACCCCATGTGTGTCAGAGCAAAACGGTGCTCCCTAGGGTTTTCAATGGCTGAGTTTTTGGAAGTAGATCACCAGGCCTTTCTTCTAAGGCACCTCTGAGTGGACTCGAACCACCATCCTTTTTGTTAACAGCCGAGCGCATTAACGGTTGCACCACCCAGGGTCTCCTGAAACTGCATTACTCACCCAGATATTTTGTGTATATCAGAAGCAAAAAAACCTAAACAGCTAGTGGACTGAACATTTGTTTTCTCCTTATGTTTTGGTGCCACGCTGCTGCCAAATCTCAAGCGGCTCATTTGGTAAACAGTGCTTTTCTTGAGTTAATCACACCCAGTCACCACCATCCCAAGCAACCAGAGTACAGAGGTCGGTAATCCTATACTTGGTGGTGGATGGGAGGACACAAAGATAATCAAGTATTTAACTTTCATGCTTTACAGCTTCATAAAAATTCAAGTCACTTCTACCTTCTCTCTCATTAGGGCCGTAAACCATTTCGTTTTGTTCTTAGAAACCGGGGCTTTTTGGTATAGTTCTCGCTTTGCTGTTATATTAGCTCAGTGACCAGCGACCTTGAGAAGCCTACCCTAACTCGCTGGGCTTCCTCACCAGTGAAATAAGGAGACTGAACTAAACGATCTTTATTTCAGGAACTTTCAACTTTGAAATTCTGTTTCCATTGTCAGACTTCTGACTCAGTAGCTCTTATTTTCTATTTTTTTTTTTTAAATAGTAATTCAGCTTGTTCCCCCCACCCCAACAACAACATAAAAAAGCTTTTATGAAACCACAGCCTTAACCCATCCACACCCAGGGCGAGTCCATGAAGGGAAGCGGCAGGCAATCCCAACTAGCTGGGTGAGTATCACATTGAAAACAAAGTGCTGGCGATCTGAGTCTTACACTGCACTCACAGCATTATGTTCAAACTTGATCTTCCCTCACAACAAAGGCTGTGGGCAGAGTCTGTCTCTATAGGAAGTAGGCCTCAAAATAATAGCTTTATAGCATACTAAAGATCTTCTAGAACCATGCAGACTGCAGTCATAGGGACTGGCTTGACATAAAATCCAATAATGGGCTGAACAGATACACGAAAAGGTATATATAATTATGCCCACTCCAACTAATTACAGCTTCGTGTAGTAATTTTTAGAAATAAATATACAATTAATTCCTTGTAAATGTGAACTGCTGAATGCACAATTGGGTTTTATCAGTATCTTTGAGCAAAAAACTACACACAACTGAAGGTGGAAAATTCAGGTCTTTCTTCTAAAACGATTTATAAAGCATTTTTAACTTTGTGAGTTTTTAAATCTTCAAAATAATTTACCAGCTTTTTACTGCTTTTATTTTGCCCAGACAGTATTAACAATTACCCTTTCTCTAAGTGTATTTATTTCTCCAAAACTTTTATTCTGAAAATTTTCAAATTTATAGAAAATTACAAGAGTGGCACAATTAATTACAATTTTTTAAGTTAACAGACTCATTCCAAATTTATATTTGCAAATTTTCATGCTCTTAAGGGTTGAGAAATAAATATCCTTGCATGTATGTAAACAAGGCATACTTCTGTATTCACCAGACTATTAACCCACTGGCATGGAGTCGATCACTGACTCTACACAGCGACCCTATAGGACAGAGTAGAACAGTATCATAGGGTTTCCAAGGCTGTAAATCTTTACAGAAGCAGACTGCCACACATCCTTCTCCGCTGGAGCGGGCTGGTGAGTTGGAACTGCAGACCTTTCGGTTTGTAGCCAAGCACTTAAACCACTGCGCCACCAGGGCTCCTCACCAGAGTATTACTACTCGGTTATATTTGTGTACTGGAAACAAATCCTAAATATTTTAATACCATAGCAAGGAAGGGAATGTATGCCATTCAAAAAGAAAAATCGTTGGCTTTCTCTCCAGTGAGGCAATGTTTTAAGGCGAGCGGCAACTAGGAGAGACATTCTCAGGGATTTAGCTTAGAAAACTGCCTGGAGAAGAGCATATTGTTTTTAAGAAGTCATAATAGAACACACTCTTATTGAAAACAACTTCACACGATAATAGAATCTTAATTTTAAAAACAGAAAGAAAAAAAAAGGATCTGTTTATTTACATCAACCTCCTGAGTCACTCTGTCTCGGAGACGAGAGAGTGAAGTCACAAGACCCCTCAGCAAGTTGTAGAACTTTACGAGGCAAAGTCCTCAAGACCACCACCCAAGCATGCGAACGGCCCCTCAGTCCGCCGGGCGAGGAGCTGGGGACAGAAGCCGGGCGGACAGAGGCGCCTGCGGCCGGGCCTGGCTGGGCCTCCGCGCACCAGGCCCGGGGCCAGCTCCCGCCCCTGCCTCTCGACTCGAATCGGTGTAGGCGGCCCGAGCCACCGCCGTCCTCCAAAACCAAATGCGGCGCGGTGAGGACTGTCGCCTCCGGGGCCTCGCCCTCGCCCTCGCCCCGACGCCTGTCAAGGGCAGATCCAGAGGGGCCTCGCTGAACGCGGCAGGACGAGCTCGAGGGGCCGGGCGACGCCGGGGAGGACAGGGAGGGGTGTCACCCGCCGGCTGTGCGTCCGCCGAGGTGTCCTCCGCCGACCTCCGGGGCCTAGGCGCGGGCAGTGGCTCACCCCCGGCGCTGAGGCCCCGCCTGTCATCGAGGTGGGGCCGCCTGCCGGGGAAGGGGCGCGGGTCCAGCTCACCTTGGGGCCCTCGGGGGGCACGCGCGGGTCGTTCCACGTCGTGGTGCGGCTGTTGTGGTCCACGAAGAAGGGCCAGCCGGTCTGCGGGTCGATCTTGATCTCCCAGCCGGGGGGCAAGGGGTCGCGGTCGGCGGCGCCGTTGCCGGACGCCATCTGCACCATGGGCGAGTGGGTGGCTGCGCTCATGCTGGTCGGGGGTCGGCCCGGAGGTCGGCCGCCGGGGTGCCGGAGAGCGGGGTCCCGGGGTGCTGGCTTACGGGGTGCCGGAGTGTGCGATGCCGGGTCGCGTGGTGGCTGGGTGCCAGAGAGCTGGGTGCTGGGTCGCGGGCTCGCGCGGTGCCGGGCCTCCAGGCGCCGAATCGCTGGGCCGCCGCCGCGAGGACCTCTCCGCCGCCGGAGCGTGAGTCCTGCGCCGCCGACGTGTCCGGGAAGCCGGCGCCGGGCACCTTTATGAATTAAAGGAGGGGGTGACGTGGCCAGAGAGGGGTGGAAGTGTCTGGAAATAGCCTCCTTGCTGCCAAAGGGGAAGGAGGAGATAAAGGGAGGTAGCAACTGGCCGGCTAGAAACTTCTGGTCCCATCCAGAGAAGTTGGCGACGGCCTGGCTTGGATGCGGAGCTCCGCCCTGAGTCATCAGCTATAATCGTGGCGCGCGGGGCGGGGCCAGGGCGGCCGCCCCTCCCCCACCCCTTCTCCGGGGAGGGCGGCGGGGCGCACCCAGGCCGAGCGAGCCCCTAGGGCGTGCTCTGGGGGCCCCGGGCCGGTTTCGGTCTTCGGACTTGCTCCTTCCCCTGCGCGCCGCGTTGAGTGTCCGCGGACTGGGAGCCTGCGGGCCATGTGGCTGCTACCCCTAATTCGCATAAAAACAAAGTCATCGTTAGACTTTAAAGTGGTTTTGAACTGGAGGTGTTCCCCCCCCCCATCATACTGATATTTGGGGACAGGGGAGTCACTCAGTTACGTTTTAATCACTTTCTTTCACGGAGCTTGAGGGCTGTTGGTGGGAGGGGGCCCCCGGAACGTTGATCTGACACTGAACAAAGCCAGGGAGAAAATGGAAGTGCAGTGGAAACTCACCTGCCTTCCTTCTGAAATCTAAAGGAAAAAAGATTGCTCTAGCTGATGGTTTTATTCTCTTAGAACTTCATATCTCAAATATAGGAACTTTCATAAGAGTGAATAACTTTAAAGAAAAATCACATTCTTTTGGGTTTTGATCGTTTTTTATGGTAGAGATTCTTGCTAGGAGAGTGAAAGGTGAAATCTTAAATCTTGACCTTCATTTGAGAAGTAGAGACCAAGAGGTACCATTAAAATTTTTTGTTTGGTTGATTCAGTGGTAGTTGTAACTTCAACAGAACACCCAGATTCTCCAATGTTAGGGAGGTTCCAAATTAGACCCTTAGGCATGTCGACTCATTACCTTGCCCAGAAACAGTTTAAGAAGCTGCCTTGGAATAATGTTAGGCCCAATTTTCCAACTCAAATTCAGAGACTATGTCCCAGAACCCTCAGAAACATCCCTTGTTTCTTCCCACCCTCAGATGACTCCTAAGGAGGCCTGCCAATCATTTCCAATGGAATGATACCCACTTTAAAAAGGATACTTATCAGCTTTGATCTAAGATGCATCAATTGGTCCCAACCACCTGGAGTAAAGAAGAATGAAGAACATCAAAGACACAAGGAAAGTATTAGCCCAAGAGACAGAAAGGGCCACATAAACCAGAG